GGGGGGTGCTCGGCAAATATCACGCAATTTTTTTTCTAATTGAAACAAAAAAAAATACATTTTGGTCCATTTAATCCAGACTGCTTAAGATTTAATATTAAGCGTAATCGCAGAAAATAAAAAAAAATGACCTCACATAATTTATGGACGACCCTTTATCTGACAGTGATGTCATTGCTATCTGAGCCTCTATCAGCCACTGTTGGGATATACCCTAAATGTTTTAAATATTAACTTAACATGAAAAAGGCTATTTAATTAAAGAAAAAAAAATGTTTATTGTACTGTTTTTTTTTTTATTTCGATGTAAACGAAGTCGGAAGCAACAGCTAGTATTCAATGTATACATTTTTAGATATCGCACCGCGTATCTAGAAGATATGCCGTGGATAGGAACTTTTCAGTATCGTTTCAAAGGTTTCAATAAACAACCTGCGGATCACTATTTAAGATCTTTTTATATGGAAGAATATCATGAAAGTAAAAGATGGTGGAATGTTGGGACTAAAAAATATTGTGTGGGAGACACGCCGCAGTATAAACTTATGCTGAATATCACCGATCAAGTGAGTATTTTTAAAATTTTACTATGGTTTGTCTAAATAATTTAGATTCGTTTGACAATTCATTTCAAATTTAGTAGGGATGGGTTAATCAGTCATGAATCTTATCGATTTTCGATTTTTATTCTTATAGAAGTTGGAATCGATAGATTTTGAATAACCAATTAAATAAAACACTGTTTTCTCAAATTAATAATGACCTTAATAAATAATGAGAGTAAATAAATGTTTATTACTACTACAGCCGTACGTAATCGAATTGGATTTCGCTATTATTTCTGTCATCGTTAAATTCTCTACACTATAATCAATACTAGAATTTTCCTCAGAAGAACATAACTTTAGTTGAGTTCGATAATTATTTAAACCGAATATCGATAGTTCATAATTGTTGGCTGCGTGTCACTACGATACCTGTCTATTAAGTACGGCATTTACTGTCATACAAATTTAATTCGACACTTCATATGCGTCATTTATTAAACTAATCTATCTTATTTAGACAAACTATATTGCATTTCATTCATTACATTCGCTCATATGTCACTTTGATGTACAACAAAGTATCTCATTGGTTATCAAATGTCAAAATTCCATTTATTTTTATTATTTCTGGTACAAATAAGTTTTAATTAATAATGAGGAATATGCATGTATTTTTTCTTTTTTTAAACGAGTCTACTTGTTATAAAATAACCAGAAAAAAAATTGACGCGAAAATATTCAACCATTGAGCTAAAAATAATAAAATAAAATTACGACCATTTTCGAGCGACTAAAATGCGACTGGAGTTGTCATAAGACAATTGACGTCAATCGTCTATTCCATTCATAACATACGCTCAGATGTCACTTCGATGTAAAAAACAACAAAGTTTCTCAAGGTCAAAAAGTCAAAAATCGATTCATTTTTATTATTCCTGGTACAAATAAGTGGTAATTAATAATTCTATTCATTAAATTTTTATTTTAAAGTTGGTTTTGATATCGTGTTTACAGTAAAATACTTCAAGAGTGTATTTCAAATAAACTAACGTAAATGAACTGTGTATTATATCATATTTATGATGCTTTTAATTTATTAAACTTTTCAGTTTCTGAAACTGGACGGTAAGAAGTTTTGTTTCACCTTCATAGCGGACATCACTCACGATGACTTCAACATGATATCTACAGCTGATGAGGATGTGCTGGAATTCCTGCAAGGGTTCCAGCGAGCTGGTCACTTGGAGGACACATTCCTCATGGTGATGGGAGACCACGGACCTAGGTAAACCGCACTCATCACCAGGAGCTAGGAGCCTACCCTAAGTTAATATGACGTGACAAGCCAACTGACTTAAAAATAGCGATTTTTTAATTACATATGCACAGACACAAGTTAATTCCAATTAAAATAGTAGCATTTTAATTAGCTATACACAAAAATAGGTTATCTATACTTCTATACTATTATAATAAAGCGTAAACACACACTTCTTTGTTGCCTAAGATGTCAGCAATTACAGCATGTTTTTGAATAATTCTTTTTTTTTTTAATAAAAAGCTCTACACTTACGTCACGCTTTAGGCTACATATTTTCCCGCCAGTAAACTTAGAGGTTAAATTTTTTGGATAAAAACCCAAATGTGGGAAAGAGACCATAAATTGTTGCCATCATCAAGAAGCAAGATTGCCAAAGTTTGTCATGTCATGTCATTTTGACATTTGCTATTGAGAATTTGACAAATGTAAACAATAAAATAAAATTTTCATAATTTCATGCGGATGAAACTGCACGAGAACAGCTAGTTTTTAATATAAATGGTGAAATTGTGTTACCTGTGCACAGATATAGATTATTTGTTTAAAAAATAAATTAATTGACCAAAAAAACGAGATTTACAAAATATGTTAATTAAATATAGAAAAAAAAAATAGAAAACCCGCATCCGCGTCATTTCAAAATATTCAAATGAACATTTAAGAACACCGACACTTTCTTCGACTGTACTTCCTACCTTTTTTAGATACGCTTACGTCAGAGATACATTCCAAGGGAAATTGGAAGAAAGATTACCTCTAATGGCTATAGTTTTACCGGAATCTCTGAAACGCGAGAGACCGGAGGTTGAGGATGTGCTGCGAAATAATGTTAACGTTCTGTCCACCCCACACGATATACACGCGACTGTCCTGGACGCGCTGCACATGAGACAGCACTGGAATACGTATAAAGTGCCCGGAGCTGATTATACAAGGGGACTCACTTTATTGGAACCGGTAAGTAATATACAAAAACCTGGATTATTCCCAACCGTCTTCTGTCCCTAGATGGGGACCGATGAGAATAGTATCATCCGTCCCACCTTTATCGACGTATGGACGGTTGGAACTGATTTTATCCCTTAAAGGTTCCGGTCTTTGTTCTCATCTGTCCCCACGTGGGGACAGAACGGTGTGACGGTTGGGAATAATTCTATAATCTATGGACTCAAATATCTTTGAAGCCTGTGTGATTTTTATATACCTTTTAAGGGGGATATGTATAAACGAGTTGCTTTTATGTCATTTGTATGTTCTGTTTTTGACCGACTTCCCAAAAGAAGGAGGTATTCAATTC